CCCTGGCACCACGTCCTCCCCTCCCTGGGTACCTGCCCAGGTGAGCATGTGCCTGCCCTCCCCACGCCAAGCCCCAGGGCTTCAGGCCATGCTCAGGATATTCCCAGCCACGGCACTGATGTCCTTTGCGACTGAAGCTGGGCTGGAACCAGCTCCCGCTGAATTAAAATGAGGCCTCGTTAGTACGGCCGCGTGCCCAATCCATCTTGGAACAGGTTGTCCAGAGAAGCTGTGGCTGCCCCATCCCTGGAAGTGTTCAAGGCCAGGTTGGATGGGGCTTTGGGCAACCTGGTGGGGTGTCCCTGCCCATGGCAGGGGGGGTGGAACTGGATGATCTCTGAGGTCCCTTCCAACCCAAACCGTTCCGTGATTCTATGATCTTCCTTACCCATCTGCCCATTGTAGCATCCTCCCACCAGGACGTGCGAGTCTTTGGGGTTGTACTCCAGGCAAACGAGAGGGGATGACGGCTTGAGAACGAGCTCTGGCTTGTTGGGGTTTTCTGCCAAGAAGGGATGAGTGAAGAGCGAAACACGAAAGCAGCTGGAGGGCGAGCACCCCTGCTCTGAACCAGCCTCCCAATACCGCACCCCGCTCCTCCCCGCTGCGCCGGAGCTCGCCCAGCCATGCCGGATCAGCTGGCCATGTCACCGGGATGCCTCACCTTAGCCAGGCAAGAAAGCTGACCTGTCCTCACCTGCCAGCCTGGGGACAGACCCCTGGCACCCCGACTCCCAGTACCTCGACCCCTCTTCTTTGTGTTTTTTGCTCAAAAATACAACAGGTCTGAGAGTCTTTGACGGAATAGGGCGATTCTCAGCCCGGGCTTGTGCTGCCTCTTTCGGAATCGAGCACAAGTGAACCACACACAGACACGAACCGCACAGGAGGCGTGTGGCTCAGCTGCCCGTTGCGGTCACAGGTGCTCAGGCTCATGGAGTAGGGTTTTAGTGGTTATTTTCCACCTGTTAGCCAGCTTTCAGGCCCCATTTCTCCCCTCTTCCGCATTGATCTGTGGGCAAAGCAGACACCGAGCCCCCCTCCAGCCCTCCCCGGAGCACCGCGAGGCTTCATTACGCTCTTTGAAGACACAAAGTGCTTCCGCAGCAGCAGCATTACTGAGTGGTGAGTCCTCCCTTCCCTTACCAAGATCCCAGATGTAGGAGTCAAAGCTCATGTCTTTCATGTTTTGCTGGAACTCCAGGCTGGAATAAGCCACTGCCAGTTTCTTGCACATGTCGGGATGCCAGGAGAGACGCGTGGCCGTCCTCTTGGTTACATTTGGATCCCTTTTTGATAAGAAGACATCAAAGAAAGACGTTAGTTTGCTAACAGCTTTGTCATCCCCTGGGATGACTGTCTCCCAAAGGAAACTGTGGGAATCGCAATTAAAACGAGCTGCAGCCCTTGAGCATCGAGTGCAGGAAATGATTCTCTTGGGGGTTGGGTGGGGGGAGAAGAGTTGATGATTTAATAAAGTCTTTCCAGTTATACGTTTCTAAGAATCCAATTATCTTACCGGATCTGACTTCTAGAAATGACCTAACAGCCCCTGACATTTGAAAATAATCTTTGATGCACCAAAAAAAAAAAAAAATCCTGTCTAAAGCACTGTTAGAAGATGCTCAGAGCTGCATCTGTCCCTGGACCATGGTACTTATCTCCAAAGTGCCAGGGCAGGGTGGAGGGCAGGGAGGGGAGGAACAGATGGAGTTATGGAGCAGTGGGGGCTGCAGCAGGTCTCTCCGTCCAGAAACTGATCCAGCACTATCCTAAAACCACTGGATTGTCTCCAAACAATACCCAGTAACCAGCCCCGCATGGGGAGAGCCTGGCGAGCCCAGCCAGTTGCGCTACCTGAAGACATTGATGGTTTTTGCCGAGGGGGGCTCATCTTCCATCTCTGCCTCCTCCTCCTCTCCAAAGTCCTCCTCGTAGATGTTGATGGCATTGTTCTGCTTGACGCAGTGCTCCATCAGCTGCAGGGAAAGCACAGGAGGAGGCCATGCCTCTGGGGAGCTGCCTCGGCGCGGGAACCGGCAGCGGGTGGGCAAGGGGGGGCTCTGGGAACGGGTGGTCAGGGGTGGGGGACGGGCAGGGCCTTACGACGCCAAGATGCACGATGGTGTTGATGTAGTTTTCATCTTTCTCCACTTTCTTCCGGAAGCGGATGGTTTGTTCCACCTCCTGCGGGTTGACTTCTTTGGGCCAGCCGCCCTCCACGTGGTTGAGGCCGCGGGATTCCACCTCCACCCGCTCGGTGTTG